TTCTTCTAGCTTTTTTTGTTTTTGCACTTTAGCTTTTTCTTTTGTTTCTTCTTTTTTCTTTTTTTCCCCCTTCTGACTCTATTTTAGTTATAATAATTTTTACTCTTCCATTTCAACCAAACCAAAGTAGTGTCTGTGGGGTCCTTGGCGCTCTCTGAACTTGGTTGCTTTCTTGCAGATGTTTCATTACCAAACTAGGTAACGTCATCAATGCACCGCAAGTAAACACCAAACTCTGAGAGGACCAAGGACCTCACAATTCAATCCTGAGCTAAAAATATTCTCTTCTATCAAAACAGTGTCTAAGCTACGTATTGGGGGACAATGACTGAAAACAGAGCTTGTCTTAAAAGTGATTTTTTTTTCAAAGCAAGCTGATTTGTTTATTGCTTTTCATAGAAATAGACTGATTAGATTTTGTGCATCCTTCTTAGTATTCAGGTGTCCTCCTGACAATTCTGTAAAGCTGCTTTTGGCTAATTAAAAAAGCCACTAGGATGTGTATGAGATTGTATTTTAGGTTCAAATAAGCACATATGCATATTTTAGGAGGAAATTTGCCAAACAGTATTTTTTTTTTTTAAGAATAAAAGACTTGAGGGAAAAAAAAGTATTGTATCAGCAGGGGATTAAAATAATGCATGTTTCCTTGCATAAATCATAAACAAATTGCAGAATAGGCTGGAACCTATTCAGAGAAACGGGAGTGTCAATGCTGCAAATATTGTATATTCTTGCTTTGACAATTTGCAGAACTGTCTGGTATTTTTAGAGTTAATGCAGAGCAGAAGAGGGAGGAGGGAAAAGCCGGGAAAGAGAGAGGAAGGGAACCTTTGACCTTCACACTAATTGGATAACGTGATATATGACAGCTAATTTAGGGAGGGAACATGCTGATAATTTAACTGCTCAGAGGAAGAGAATTTATATCTTAGCATACCTTCGTTATGCCGTGGCGACATTTTGTATCAATAAATGACTTTTAGGAAAATCAATGCCTGGAAGTTCTTTGAAGTGTTTCATTAGCCGGAATCATAACAACCATAACCATAACAGGTGAAACTGACTGGGACAAGATGGACCAGTTTCTCCATTAATGTCCGTAAACAGCAATTCATCCAAATCTTTTCTTCTACGATTTTGTGTTAAATTAGCTTCCCTGCTTTTCCCCATATCACCGTTGGTGAAGTTTAGCATGTGTAACAGAAACAAATTATTTCTTCATTTTTAAAACAGTTTATATGGATGTCCTTCTCATGGTTGCGATGGTAATCAGGGGGAAGAAACAGAAAACAAAATCCATTGGAGAAGCCCACACTTATATATTAAAACTATCCCAGTAGGATTCAACTATCCATCAAAATATATAGTTTCAAAGCATTTGACTATATACTAGTTAAATTTCAAAAGCTCTCCTTGGACAACAATAAAGTTGAAGGATGGCAAAAGCTATTAAAGTTTTGTATTATTTTTCTTTGAAAAGTTTTCAATTCATCCCTAGGCCCTTTCTTTATATCCCTATTTATGTCATCTTCCCTCTAAGAATGGAACAGCCTTTTGCAAAGGTAATATACAGTTTCTACCAGAGTTTTATTTGAAAAGTTAACATTGGAAGAAACGAAGTTTCCAGGGGAGATTCAGTGGGAAAACAGAAGTTGGTGTAGCCTTCCTAGTAACCAATAAAAAGAAAGTTATCATTGTGGCCATTTATGAGGAGAAAACAGTAGCTATGGAAAAGGTTATCTATCTGCTTTCTATCCCGCTCGTTCCCCAGATGATCTAATTTTCTCTCTCCCTCTTAAATATTTTACTAGAATTTTGCAATACAGTCAAAAGTATTTAAAAATGAAAAGAAGTGTAAGAAAAAGAAAAAAAAAAGATGGAGAAAAAGATGTGGAAAAAGAAAGAAAATATGGAATTTTTTTCTGCCTTTTTTCTATCAGGTTAGTTATTTGTATCCCTCCTTTATTAATTTGCAAATAACTCAAAGCAGCGAACATATCCAATATAGCTTCCTTCACCTATTTTTCCCATAACAACAACCCTGTGAGGTCAGTTGAGCTAAGAGTGACTGGCCCAAGGTCACGCAGCTGGCTTTCTGGGTGCCATCATGATGCAGTGTTTAGAATGCGGTATTGCAGGCTAATTCTGCCAAGTGCCAGCAGTTTGATCCTGACCAACTCAAGGTTGACTTAGACTTCCATCCTTCCCAGGTCAGTAAAATGAGGACCCAGATTTTTTGGAACGATATTCTGACTCTGTAAACTACTTAGAGAGGGCTGTAAAGCACTATGAAGCAGTATATAAGTCTAAGTGCTATTCCTATTTCATGGCTAAGGCAGGATTTGAACTCACAGTCTCCCAGGTTCTAGCATAGTGTCTTAACCTCTAGATCAAACTATCAATCTGTCTGTTGTACCTCCATCCGTCCCTCCCTCCATCCATCCACCCATCCATCCTTAGCTATTTAAATTTAAATTAAATAATTAAAAACATAAGTTGTTTAAATTTATTTAACTATCTTTCTTTCAATAGCAATAGCACTTAGACTTATATACCATAGTATATAAGTGCTTATAGTGCTTTTACAACCCTCTCTAAGCAATTTACAGAGTTAGCATATTGCCCCCCAATAATACACATCCTCTTCACGACCTGTTTTCCTTGTTACCTTCTGGGCGGAGGCTCCGTGGTGTCCGAAGCAGAACAATCAGATTCAGTCACAGCAAATTTGGTTCCATACAGTATTAACCTTGTAAACTCTAAAGCTTCCTCTTTCCGCTATGTATTCAAAATGGACAGTGATTAATATTTATATGATATTTATATATCAGGGTGTGAGTTTATACATATGTTGTATATAGCAGGTTTAAATGTGTGCTATGTATGTGCACAATTTTGAGAGCAAGCAACAAAATTTCATTTTTAATGTGTGCCAGTGTGCCCACAGTAAAAAATGACAATAAAGGTTATCTATCTATCTATCTATCTATCTATCTAACTAATCTGAGTCCTCATTTTACCGACCTCGGAAGGATGGAAGGCTGAGTCAACCTTGAGCCGGTCAGGACTGAACTCCTGGAGTGAGCAGTGAGTTAGCCTGCAGTATTGCATTCTAACCACTGTACTACCAGGACTCAACTAATTGTCATCTTATTCTTTCCAAGGCCTTTTAAAGCCTTTTTAGTCCCAAACAGTCTGATCCATTTTCATCTCATCCATTCTCAGTCGCCTGCTGTAGACATTAAGGAAGATAACCTTGATGCAAATACAGGTAGACAGGAACTATTAACAGGTAAAAGGGCTTGAAATATCTATCTATCTATCTATCTATCTATCTATCTATCTATCTATCTATCTATCTATCTATCTATCTATCTATCTATCTATCTATCTATCTAAAATCAGTAAAGAACAATAAATAATATGTAGGGGTTGCTTGGGCAGATGTGTCACTAATTCACTGGAGAATAAGAAGGAGGAGGAAAAACACAATCAGACTGGTAAAATTCTGTCATTCTAGCCAATCTCAATAAAAAATCATTTTAGCCTCCCTGTAGAGGTGATCTTGTGGTGGGGTTGACAACTTGTGCTTTGGAAACAAACATCTACGTGCAGAATGCATTCTAGCATCCTAACCTATGATGGTACCTTCTAATTTTTTGGATTTGGAATGTTCTGCGCTCTTGTAGATTGAAGACTTTATTCCCTTGAGCAATTCGTCTTTTTTCTCAGGCACTTGATTTCAAGTTTATAGCATCCCTTCTTCCTCAAATAGTGATTGTGTGCAAGCATGAGGAAAAGTGAGAGGAGCCCAGACCTGGTTCCCACAGAACACTTAACTGGGTTAATGGAGTGTGTATGTTAATGTGTTGTGAAAATAACAAGAATTAATCCAGTCAATTAACCTCCCGGATAATTTAACAGCCCAAAGTCAACCCAATTGTGTGCGAGCTTAACCTAACTCTACCAAGCTAGTAATGCTACAGGGAAAACCCAGTTAATTGACCCTTTCTTGCCTACTTTGCTTTCAAAAAAGAACTGGAAAGGAAAAGTGATTGAGAAGGCAAATCCTTTCAATTTACTGAAAAGGTTTGGCAGTACGAAGACACAACACAAAGGCTGATAGATTCCTCTGTCCAAAGGCACCCAGTTTTGCCTGCTTGACGAAGAAGACAAAGACAAGTGATGCTTTAAAATCCCAGAGGTGCTCTTTCCACGAGGCAACTGGACTTTCTTGTTTTTCTTTGAAGACGTTTAGCTTCTCATCCAAGAAGCTTCTTCGGAGATCTGAAGAGGCTTCTTGGATGAGAAGCAAAACATCTTCAAAGAAAAACAAGAAAGTCCAGTTGCCTCGTGAAAAAAAAGGATCCTTGAGACAACCAGGACCTGGATGACTGAGAATCTCCATAGACATGATGCTTTAAAGGTCTTCCAGGTCTTTGAAGAAGGGCTTATGGGATAGCAATGATTTTGGTGGAAAATGTGCAGGGATTTTTGAAATCCAAAACTGGTGATCTTAACCCAATCAATGTCATTTTGTCTTCTTAAAAGCACCGAGAACTACATCAGACTGCTAAAACTGGAGCTGTTAATAAAGTAACAAATATTTTCACTAATACAGGTAGGTAGACCTTGACTTACGACCACAATTGATCCCAAAATTTCTGTTGCTAACTGAAACATTTGTTAAGTGAGTTTTGCCCCATTTTACAACCTTGGGGATCAGTATTGACCGCTTTGGAGAATTCTGCTCTAAGCTATACTATAGTTTGTTTAGGATTAATGCCACACAGAGATGCCACCACGATGGATTATAAAGCATGGTTTGCAGATCAGTGCAATGCAAATGAACAGGTAATTGTGGTTTATGCAACAGACTGAGATTAAAAGAAACCACGGTTGGGAGAACTATGTGGACTTGGACACTGAAAGGGAGAGCAAAAAAAGTTAAATCAATCTGCATCTCTTAAAATTGGTCGCCAAGGTTATTTCTTTACCGTTCTCTCCGTCAGACTTCCTTTCGTGATCCGTGTCAGTGAGGGACAAGGCTGAGTTGGCGCGGCTTGACAAACAGGAGCTGTGTTCGGATTTCATGCCCGACATCCACATCCTCAAGGCCTGATCTGGTGAAGCGCCTCCTTCCGTCTCGGTATCCATATCGGACCCCATCTCGATAGGATAGCCGTGCTGAGAAACTGTATGCAAGTCCCCCTGGTAGCCAGCACACAACATATGGGGAGAGTCACAGAATTCCAGCTCTGAAACAAAGGGAAAAACCAGAACATGGTTTGTACACAAAAAAGGACAGTTCAGTGGTTTTTTTTTTAATTTGCCCATAGCATGATTCATGCCCCGAGGTTATAAGTATGGACCACATATCCTTCTCCATCCATGTTCTAGAATTGTGTTGATTTTAAATAAGCTCAGTATAAAAAAGAATACGCACAATTATAAAAGAAGAAAAAAAAGGCTAAAGTGGAGGCAGTTAGATCTAGTGGTTAAGGCACCAGGTAGAAACCAGGAGACTGTAAGTTCTAGTCCAGCTTTAGGCATGGAAGCAGCCGGGTGACTTTGGGCCAATCACCAGGAGACTGTGAGTTCTAGTCCTGCCTTAGAAATAAAAGCTGGATGGGTGACTTTGGGCCAATCACCAGGAGACTGTGAGTTCTAGTCCTGCCTTAGAAATAAAAGCTGGACGGGTGACTTTGGGCCAATCACCAGGAGACTGTGAGTTCTAGTCCTGCCTTAGAAATGAAAGCTGGACGGGTGACATCACTGGGTTGTTGTTGTGAGAAAAATAGGAGATGAAAGGCATATTAGGAATGTTCCCTGCCTTGAATTATTTATAAACAGAAAGGCAGGACAAAAAAAAATCTAAAATAAAATAGGAATCAAAAAGATATTGGATATATATTCACAGACATACGTATATCAATAAACTGAACTCACGATTCATTACAGTGATCTATCGCTGATCTATACTGATCAATTCTGCAACTACTGAACAGTGAGAGCTACATATTTGTCTTCCTTATACGGAACAGTAACATTTATTTTTTTTTGCCGTTAAGTCTATTTTATTTTTTCCTGATGTCAACTTTCGTGTGATGGAGATCAACTTCAAAAGAATGTAAACCTCTAAAAAAATATTAAATCTCAAAGTTGAGTTAATCCGTGTAATTGCTTCTTATCCAAATGTTACTATATATTTAAATAAAGTCTTAGTTTCATTGCATCTCCTACAACCTGAATGCAACAAGGTCATTTCTGAAATACTATTTCTTGTCCAGAAGGATATGATCTACAAATCTATTGATTTTTTTTTTAAGTCTGCACTTTTTTATTGGTTCAGTAAAATGTGCAAAAAGAAACAGCAAAATGAAAAGCAAAAATACATCTGCATACCTAAATGATTTGGCAAGGGGGGGGGATTTAAAAAGCAAATAAAAATAACCCACATTTTAAAAACAAAACTATGAAAGGGATTCCAGTGTCTTTCCTCTCTTTCTTTATCCTTCTCTTCTCTTCCCCCCCACCCCCCAGTCACTCATTGCTACTTGGACATTTTTATACTTTACCCTGGACAGTGTTACTCCTTTCTGTTTGAATCATTGATGATGTTTAAGATTATTTAAACAACTTTCTCTTCCCTCACCTTCTTCCAGACTCCTGCTGTCACATTGCAAGAGAGACAGAATATGGTGATCCATTTGTGCTTTTATTTTTACCACTGGCTATTTGCAGATACAGGCTGTCCTCGGTTTACAACCACAATGGAGCCCAATTGTGGGCACATGTGCCATTGCCCCAGCCCCGCCTCCCCCTCCTCTCCAGCAGCCCCCCTGGAGGAGAATCACCCCCAGGCGCAGCCCGCACGGAGCAGCACAGCCAAGGACATAGCCGGGCAGCAGGGACAAGACTCCACCCTCGCGCCCCATAGCATGCAGATGATGCTGCGGGGTGTGGGTGGAGGGCGTGGCTGCCATGGCGCTGCAGGGCTGACTGGATGATCTGCGGCGGGCCATGGCGGCGGTGCGTGGCCGGATGGGCGGGGCAGGGAGCGGGCGGGACAGAGCAGGCAGGGCGGGAGGCGGAGCGGGGATGGGGGGGCGGTTTTTGGGCACTCAGTCTCTAAAAGGTTCGCCATCACTGTGCTAAGGCATAATTAGAACAATTATCAGTGGAACGACTTGCCTCCAAAAGTTGTGGGTACTCCAACCCTGGAGGTTTTTAAGAAGAGATTGAATGATCATTTGTCTGAAATGGTATAGGGTTTCCTGCTTGAGCAGGATTGGACTAGAAGACCTCCAGGGTCCCTCCCAACACTGTTATTCTGTTATTCTGCCCTTTCATGATATCAGATATTATATTTTTGCTGTTTTTCTTCCATACGGGACCATGTAAAGTCCCAGCACTGGGTTTACATAGCAGTCTTGTCTGTTCTGATACCCTTTGTTTTCCACGGTGCCAACTTTCAGCTTTTCATAGCAACAAGTTTTAGATCCTTCATTTGCCTAATCTGTGAAAAGGCCTTTTCTGGCTATAACAGCCACAAGATGGCACTTTTGTTAAAGTAGAAAAGGGTCACGCTGTTCTTTGCTTTCGTACAGGTGGCTGGAGAGGGAAGGTCTACTTTTGTTCCTCCTCAACATTATTCAAAGACCCACAAATCAAGACAAAACTGATAGCAGCAAGTTTTTTTTTTCCTAATGGATGAGTTAAAGTCCTTAATCCTAGCAATGGAGACATGGACCCTGTGCAGCCTGAAGCACTGAAATATTCTATTTTTAAATATTGATAACTGAATTCTCAGAAGCTGCTAAAAATATTTATATGGATTCACTGTAGCAGGCTGTGTTATTATCTGGTGGATTGGGTGAGTCACGGCAGGTGCGTGGAAGATGCAGATGTTTTCCATGCTGTTGGCAACTCAACACAAACATTTCCCAGCAGTGAAGGATTACCTACAATGAATTGGAGCAGGATCTTGGGCATATGCCTGAAATTAAAAGCAATTCCTTTTCTGACCAATTTTCACAGAGACTCTTTAGCCAGATTTATTAAGAAGAAAGGAATGGAGTTGTGACTTAACTGATTCCTACTACAATGAAATATACAGTATCTCCAAGTACACTGGAGTGGAACCTTCTTGCCTGCTTTTTGTGAAGCACCAAAGTGGCAGATACGATGTTGGCACTTGTAGCAGGGTGTTTACTAAACCACTGCCTAAATCTAGATCAGACTGAGAACTGTCAAATCTTGTACACCAGAGTAGGCTCAAGGGAGAAAGAATCACACCGATTTCAATCAGGAGCCTTAATGGTACAAATTATTTGGTAGAAACAAAACAATGAGGGGAGTGGTAGTAAAATCTTGGAATCTGAGATAGCTCTCAGCCTCCAGCTCAAGTATCCAAATAAAAGTCCAGGATTATTTTCATTTCTGAAAATCTTACTGTTTATTGAATACATGGCATGGTAAAGACGAGATAAGACTACCTCTAAAGTCCCAAGGCATCAGACCATAGCATGTAACAATGACTTTCCCAGCCAAACCTCCCCAGATGTCCACGTAGCTCATGTAAGCAAGTTCTCTTTGTTATGGGAACCGTCTGCTCTCTTCTTCACACCTGCTAGAATGTCCTTGAAAGGTTTCCATACTGCCGACTCTCAGCAAGCTTCCGTAGAACTGGAGAGGTTTCGTTTCTCTAATCCATTCGAAAGCAACACCTCCCCTCCCTACTCTAATGGCAAGATGAAAACAGAGAGGCACATAGCTGCCAAATTTTCACTCTTGATGATAGCAATAGCACTTAAGACTTATATACCTCTTCATGGTGCTTTACAACAGTCCATACTTTGTGGGGTGCCTCAGGGTTTGGTTCTCTCTCCCCTATTTAATATCTATATGAGGCCACTAAGTGAGGTGATCCATCCATTTGGGGTAAGATATCATCAATGTGCAGATGATATCCAGATTTATATCTCTACCCCAGGGTCTCTTTGGGGCCACTTGGTCTGTGTCTACTATGTAGCCATGGTCTACACTGTCTCTTATCTGCCCATTCCCTAGGCAGCATCTCTGAGCTCAATCTCCCATGATAACACACTATTACAATAGCCTCAGTTTAAAAGCTGAAAAAGGAAGACACTAATGATAAATTAAGCTGCAAAAAGAATAAATGAGAGAAAACAAAATATACACAAGAAAGAAAATGAATTATTTCCACCATCAAAACACAGTGTGTCTTTGGTGCACAAACTAGCTGAATGGAGAGACAGTTGTGTGTGTGCATTTATGCGCACCTGCATGAGGAATCTAAACACATGCATACAAAATATGGTGATGTAAAAATAAGGAATCATATTTAGCGTAATGAATATGTCGTAGGAAAGCAAGCAATAAAATTTTTTAATCCAGCCAGAGGTGGCTGTGAGCTGAAATGTAGCATCCAATTAATGAATCCTGGAGTGAACTGCTATTATTTTTTTTACTATCTGATATTACAGCAATGTCACAGTTCAGCATTTTCTCATTTCTTGGCATTTAATTCCATTTTGCATTTAAGGGTACACTTAATGTGGTTTTCACTGCTTGGGAAAAAAAAAAGCATAAATGCATTTGCCAAACAGAAACATAAAAAAAGTGCCTTCGGGAAAGCTGGGAAAAAAATCAAGAAAACAAACATGCAGAAGTCACACTGCTAAGCATGAATTACCAATAGTTGGGGGTACAGGTTGATCACCCCTAAAATATACGGGTGAGTTGCTTGGCGCTGTGAGTCTCCCACTTTGCAGAGAAAGGAAAGCAATGAAATGTGGTGATTCCATTTGGAAAGAAGAAAGCTTCTCACCTTTCAAACTAATGCTTTTGCTTTTGCCTTAATTAGGAATGAAATATTTACTTTTCAATTTGGCAAGAGCAGCATCCTTCTGGAAGAAAAAAGAAAAGAAAAAAAAAAGAAAGGAACCACTTAAGCAGCTGTTTTATTTTGCTCTTTCTCCACCCCACAGAAAGGTTGTCCTGGTTTCTATCAAAGAAGAGATGAAAATAAAAAAAATATTGTACATTATTATAGAATATTATAGGCCTTTGAACTCTGGTGCTGGAGAAGACTCCTTCGAGTCCCCTGGACTGCAAGGCGATCAAACTGGTCAGTCCTAGAGGAGATCAACCCTGACTGCTCTTTAGAAGGCCAGATCCTGAAGTTGAAACTCAAGAACTTTGGCCACCTAACGAGAAGGAAGGACTCACTGGA